GAGTTTTCAAAAAAGGAAAATTAGGAATCTTCTTTTTCTTTTTTTCTTTTCTTAAAGATTTTTTATTTATTTATTTGACAGACACAGTGAGAGAGGGAACACAAGTAGGGGAAGTGGGGGAGGGAGAAGCAGGCTTCCCGCTGAGCGGGGAGCCCGATGCGGGGCTCGATCCCAGGACCCCGGGATCTTGACCTGAGCCGAAGGCAGGCACTTAACGACTGAGCCACCCAGGCGCCCCAGGAAAATTAGGAATCTTAACTCTACTAATTTTGTTGTAAATTTTAAGAAATTAATGGGATACTTTAATGTATGTATTTGTATATATCTACATATCTTTATATCAAGAGTGAAAGAAATATTTCAAACATCCGGAAAAGTACCCAGAAACTGTTTTGATAAACACCTGTGTACCCCGTCTATTAAATCTTAATGTTTCTTCCCAGACTTCTCTGAGTGTATGGAATAGCCATCAGTGACTTAGAGGTGATACAGGTTAATCATTGTGAAAGAATACTAGTTAGTGAGCTGTGGTGTGACTCCCTTAGACCTCAGTGTTGCATATTTTTCTGATTCATCTCTTAATGCCATAAGTTTCCTATTAATATATAACAGTGAACCTTCCCCCTTGTCCTCTTTTTTTAAAATTTTTATTTTTTTAAAAGATTTTATTTATTTATTTGACAGAGAGAGAGCGAGAGAGGGAACACAAGCAGGGGGAGTGGGAAAGGGAGAAGCAGGCTTCCTGCTGAGCAGGGAATCTGATGTGGGACTCGATCCCAGGACCCTGGGATCATGACCTGAGCTGAAGGCAGACGCTTAACGACTGAACCACCCAGGCAGCCCTCACCTTGTCCTCTTATCTAAAGCAGCTTTGGAAGAATGGAACATTTCTTATATGAGCCACCTGGATTTACATGTTACTTCTATAGGGCATATGTTGTATTTGTGACTAATAATTTCATTCCAGTTTACTGCAGATTATAATAGTGAAAAGAAAACAGATTTTACATCCTGGAGCTGTTTCTTCCTGGTTTGGACAAGTTATTTAACCACTGTGTGTGCTTTGTTAATACCTTTTCCATAGAGAAGTTCTGAGAATTAAGTGAGCTAATGTAAATAATTGGCACACAGAAGTTGCTCAAGAATGGGGCACCTGGGTGTCTCAGTCGGTTGAGCGTCTGACTCTTGATTTCGGCTCAGGTCATGATCTCAGGGTCATGAGATCAAGCCCTGCTTGGGGCTCTGTGCTGGGCGTGGAGCCTGCTTGAGATTCTCTCTCCTTGTCCCTGCCCCCACTTCTGTGTGCACATGCACTCTCTCTCTCTCTCAAAAAAAAAAAAAAAGAGTTGCTCAAGAAGGGTTACTTTAATATCACAAGCCTTCTTTGACATGGTTGATCTTGCTGAAGTCTGATTTCTAAATGAGGGGGGGGTATTTCTGCACAAAAATACTCAAGACTTCTCTTCACCCCCCTCCCCAAACAAAGATTTTAACATTAAACTGCTGATTGTTTTCTTGTACTCTTGGTTTATTTTTGTACCTAAGGTCTGATAGACACATAACAAGTGCTTTGTGAACCTTAAACTAAGTGAAAATAGATTGTTCAGATGAAAGGTATGTGGATAAGTCAGTTTTGGGGCTATTCTAGAGATCTCTTGCCAGAACTGGTATCTTTGTTTTGGTCTTTGGAGACTATTAAATGTGATCACTGAGTCATACTTGCTGTTTTCTCTGTCCCCTGGCTATCTCTCTTAAGATTTTGAAGCTTGCCAGCCACAGGATGTTTAAAAGGCAGAGTAGGCTTTAGCCCAGGGGAGTTTGTTTACTTAAAGAAAAATAAGTTCAAACATCCCTACCATGTCATAGCTAGTCTAGTCATGTTAGAGTTAGTGAGTTCTTTTGATTCTTTCTGGTGGTCATGGTGCCTAAAGGTAACAAATTTGAAAGTAGTTTAAACTTTTCCCGAGATTACTTGGAACTCTATAATGTAATCCCAAAGAGAAGTCCCTGAAGGAGTGGGAGGAAAGGGCCATTTATTTTGCTAGTTGTTGTTTTTTAATGGGACTCATTTATTTATTTATTTTTAAAGATTTTATTTATTTATTTGAGAGAGCGAGAACATGAGCAGCGGGGAGAAGCAGACTCCCCGCTGAGCAGGGAGCCTGATGCGGGGCTTGATCCCAGGACCCTGGGATCATGACCTGAGCTGAAGGCAGATGCTTAACCGACTGAGTCACCCAGGTGCCCCTTTAATGGGATGCATTTAATTCACATCATTTACCACTCCTTCCTAGAGTTATAATACAGATGATTTAAAAACGAAACAACAACCAAAAAAGCAAAAAACAAACCCACACTATTGTGCTTCTTCATCGTGCTATATCTTCATTAATTCTTTGAAGTTGGAACCATGAGAATCTTTTAAAAGGGACAGTATAGTTCTCCAGATATTTAGACACAAAGATATGGTAATTGGTGACTTTATTATCATCTCCAAAATACTTCTCCTTACATATTCTCTGCCAGATAAGAAAATCTGAGGCAGATATTTTGCCTAGGGTACCAGGCCCTATCTCTTGATGAGATCACTTGTAAAAACCAAGTCCTAGAGGAAGTGGAGAAGGAATAAGACAGATACCTGGGTGTTCCAGGCAGAGGGAAAGACAAGTCCCGAGGCCCTGAAGTGAGAAGGTGCTTGAAGTGTTTAAGGAAAGGCAAGAGGCCAGTGTGGCTGGAATGGAGTGAACAAGGGGGAAAGTGGTAGGAGATGATGTCTGAGAGATGGGGAAGGGAAATATCAGATCATGGTCCTTAAGGCCTTTGTTAGCGATTTTGGCTTTTAGAGTAGTGAGATGGACTCAATTAGAGGGTTTGAACAGAAGAATGACATGATCTGACTTTCTTTTGAAAAGGATGAATCTGACTGACTTATTGAGGTGAGCAAAGGGAGAGGCTGGGAGATCAGATAGGGAACTATTAGAGTAATGCAGATAGAACTAAGGTGGCATGGACCATGGTGGTCAGAACGGAAGTGTTAAAAGTGTAACATTATGGATGTCTTTTGAAACTGGAGCTCCCAGGATGAACACTTAATGCGTAGCGATGAATATTTCTGCACATAGTGTTTGACCCATTTTTAAATGATGTTATTGCTGGATTCAAATTTTGTCTACTTGATTTATCCATTATAAAGTTTCCCATTAGTCTTTTACCTAATGGTTTTAGCAACCATTGATCATTTTTTAGATCCGTTTTTTCATTAGGTGTTGCAAAATGATGATTTTCTAATCTTATCATTCCTTCTACATTTATAATTTGGAATCCTATAAAAAAGAGCTTTCACTTATTGGCTGCTTGGTTACCCTAAGGTATTTTTCATATAAGAAATCCAGGATAAGTGCTTGATTCTTTCCCTTTATCAACTTTCAGAAATAAGTTAGTCCTGTAGCAGCCTCTAAAGATGACCATGATTTTTAAAAAATATAAATGTTTCGGGGGCTCCTGGGTGGCTCAGTCAGTCTAGCATCTGACTCTTGGTGTTTCGCTCAGGTCCTGATCTCATGAGTCATGGGATGGAGCCCCACGTTGGGCTCCACGCTCAGTGGAAGTCTGCTTGGATATTCTCTCCCTCTGCCCCTTCCTCCGCTCACGTGCGCTCTCTTTCTCAAATAAATAAATAAATCTTTAAAAAAACATATTTAATGTTTCAATGGTAGTCATTACCATTTTGATGTTCAAAGTGTCATTATCATTTGATGTTCATTTGATCTTAAAATATGTCTCCAATGTAAAAACTGTAAAACAAGGTCTGAGAAGTCTGACTTCCATCCCTGTCCCTTCCATCCTGCTTTCTCTTTTTTCTGTAGATAATCATTTAAAAATGATTTTGGTTTATCCTTCCAGTGCTTTTTTCCTTTTGAAAGAAAAAAACCCCAAGTCTGTATTAATATTTGTAGTCTTCCCATTTTTTTCTTTTCTTTTCTTTTCTTTTCTTTTTACAAAAAGAATAGCATTGTGTGTAATACTAATTCAGGTATCGCATGGGAAGTAGGGAACTGCTGGTCTCGTTGAGGGTTATTCTTGAAACTTGTCAACTTTTTATTCCATGTAAAAGAGTTTCTTATATTCTTAGCTATCTCCACAACAAGCAGCTAAAGAACATACATGTTAAAAAAAAAAGCCTACTTGCAACATTTAGCAGTATTTAGCAAAATTATATATGTAGCAATTCCCCTTTTAGAAGTTTTCCCCAAAGATTGCAATAACAGCATTACAAAGTGATATGTGCCTTTGTTCTGGTCCTTGAAGGCTTGTACCTATGGCTTTGTTTACTGAGGAGAAAACAATAACGATGATGTAGTTGGCATTGATATCAATGGTGTATGCATGGAAGAAATGGCGTTTTGAGAATTTGCCATTTTGAAATAGTCCCAGGTTAAATATCTCATCAATTAAAATTACATCACTCATCAGTTTATTCTTTCAATAAATATTTACTGAGCACTTACTGCGTGGCAGTCATTGTCTTAAGTGCTCAAAAGATATCAGTAAATAAAGCCAATAAAAATCTCCTCTGGAGCTTCCTTTCTATAGGTGTGAGGGGGAAAGAGACAAACACGCATCATCAGCTAATTTATTGTTTTCAAATGTAGAGTTTTAGGGCTCCCCTTCTACATCTTCCTTTTTTCTTTTTCCAGTCTGTAAATGGCATTCTTAGGAATTGCAAGACCCTGGTGGTTGGAAGGCATTGAGGACTGAAGAATTTATAGATCTTTATACTCAGTATGTGTAACCTAACTGTATAATTCTGGTCCTGTGGGATGATAGCATATATTCCATCTCTCTCACCTCATCCTCAGCCTGTTAATGTTTTTTATTAGAAGGTTGCTCAAGAAATTTTTTGATAGTTCCTTTTATAGACACTAAAATTTAGAAAATTGTCCTTAAAGATTTGATGTTTTTGTTATAATATATTCTTAATGACTACATCTTTATTTCAGAAATGACCATCAAGAAGTAGATGCCCAGATGCAAAAGTGATGAAACAGTCAATTTGTCATAAAGTAAGATGCAGCTGTGGCTTTTCAACCAGATTAGTAAGTGTGGCCAAAAATTTTTTTAAACTTTATACTTATTTTATCTACTTTGAAAAGCATTGAATAAAAAGTATAGTGGACTTAAGTGTCAACTTGTATTTCTGTTTTTACTTTGGATTGTATTTCTGTTTTTACTTTGGTTTGTAGTACAAATTAGAGCATGTAGCTCTAGAAAATGTATGTCTGTGTTGTAATAAAACAAATACAGTTGAATATAGGCTTAATTGCTCTTGATTTTTTAAATCCTTTTCCCTATATTTATTTCATATCTTTTCTTATTACAAGATTATCACAAATTTATTAACTCCTCCTTTACTACCTCAGAATTTGCAAACAAGGTACACCTCGTCTTATGTACCTTTTTAAGAACCATAAAGGTAATATTATAAAATCATAGCTTTAGAGGAAATATATGAGAAAGAGTCACCGTAATACCACTGTCCGAATACAGCTACTTTTAAAATGTTTGGATATTTGTTTTCCTTCCCAGTCTCTGTTCTATACATTAAAAAAAAAAAAAAACCACACATCATTTTGATCATAGTGTTGTGAAAATTATGCTTCTTTTATATCTTTTAAAATAAAATTTGTTTCAGATGTTTCTCCCTGCAAATAAAAATGTACTCTTCAGTACAGGGTTTCTTACTGGGGTAATGAAAATGTTCTGGAATAATATGGCGGTGATGGTTATACAACTTTGTGAATATAGTAAAAAACCACTAAATTTTACACTTTAAAGGGGTGAATTTTATGACATATGGATTATACCTAAAAACTACCCTTCAGGATACTAAACCTTGGTAAGAGTAAAACCCAATTGAGTACTGATGTTTTAGAATATGAAAATGTGCCGAGACATTACGATGTAACTAGAAGAAATGATCTGATAGAATACTGTTTTTGTAATAATAAAAATAATAACTTTTATATTATTAAAATACTTTTATTATTAGAGACTTATTGTCTCTTAAGTTTTGGTAATACCAAATGTCATGGTATTCTGAATGTACTCCATCAGCATTTTGCTAACTTTTTATTTTTAAGAGGCTTCCTGTTTTGAAACTAACATTTCAACTTTTCTACCTGAAATTTTTTTAGGAACAGAATTGTATCTGTTTTTCTCAGAAGAGAATTCCACAAGGTAAGAAACTGTTAATATAGTAATAAAACAAATATAGTTGAATATAGGCTTAATTGCTCTTGATTTTTTTAATCCTTTCCCTTATATTTATTTCATATTTCTTGATTATTACAAGATTATCACAAATTTATTAGCGCTTCCTTTACTACCTCAGAATTTGCAAACAAGGTGCACCTCATCTTATTTGAAGTTAAGATTAAAAGGGTGTGATAAAAGTAGTCACCTTTGGAACTCAAGTACTGCTTTTCATGGCATTCTTATTCTTAGCATTATTAAGGAACTTAGCATCCTTAGGATTGGGTTTGTCCATTTTAGGAAAAAAGTTTTCTTCTTCCCTTGGGGCCCATTCAACTTTTACCTCAGTGGACATTACCTAAATGACTTGGGGTGGTAGAGGAGTTGTGGAAGCTCTTTTAGGGGCTTTAAGTTAAGGGAGATTATTTACCTATGTTTCCACCAATGAAAATTATAGAACTCCTACATTTAGTTTAAAAAGTGGAATGCTTTCTACTAGGTAGATAATAAAATATTTAGTCACATTTAGTATTAAAAAAATCTAAATGATCATCTTTACAATGAATTTTAAATCAACATTGATTTAGATTGTTATACTTTTTAGACTTCTGAAGGATGAAATATTCAAATGAGTAGATAGTAAAATCACCTCTTGGTGTGCTTAAAATCAATTGCTTGGCCGTAAGAAGTTACATTGTTTAAATTTTCTCAGGAACTCTTTGGTACAGGTAGTAGTGATCACTGCAGATGAATTTAATCTGTCAACTGGAAAATGCTTATAAAGTGAATTATTCAGATCAGTAACTCTCATTTATTGTCCTTTGTGCTGAGGGGAACATGCACTCTCAAACACATCTTTCCCACCTATTTTTGAAATTGCCACAGGTTGAATCAGGTCAGTTTTCATCCTGATAACTGAAAACAAAGGGTTAAAATAAAGAGACCCGTTGGCTGCTGAGGAGAGAATGGGGGAGCAAAGCATCATTAGTTTTCACTTCCAAGTTTCTTGTGAAGCTTTTCCCCTATATTCTTCTTCTGTCTCTAGAGGGTAAAGGGAGGGAGTTGTGGAACCTGTGTGTAGCACTATCTGATCCTCCAGGGCACTACTCAAAGGCAGTACTTCAGGAGAAATCCAGATCGTTCTTTTCCTGGACCATTGTGCTTAAAGTGAAAACAGAAATTTCAGAAGATTTAATCTTAGTGAACTTGATCTGTTACATTCTGTCCCTGTTCTTTGGGCAAATGAAGTTTGAATTCTTAAACATTAATACAGTCTATGATACAATGATGGTGGATTATACTACTGTCTGGTACCCTTAGGGCTCTCCTGTAAGTGTTGGGTAAATATTTATTTTTATAAAAGCCGAGATTCTTTCATAGCTTTTTTTTTTTTTTAAGATTTTATTTATTTATTTGTCAGGGAGAGAGAGAGCACAAGCAGGGGGAGCGGCAGGCAGAGGGAGAAGCAGGCTCCCCGCTGAGCAAGGAGCCTGATGTGGGACTCGACTCCAGGACCCTGGGACCATGTCTTGAGCCAAAGGCAGACACCCAACTGACTGAGCCACCCAGGTGTCCCCATAGCTTTTTTAGAGTAGAAGATAATCAAAGCAAGATTATTCATATCTATATAGTATCATCCCCCTACACAGTCAGAGGTATTAAGAGGACAATGACAACTTTAATAAAAATTACTGTTCACTGTACACTAGCAAATAGTTGAAATGATAAATTTTATGTTACATATGCTTTACCACAATTTAAAAATTTGTTTAAATTTTTGAGCAACTCTGTTTACTATGAAAGAGGATGGTTATGTTTGAAGTGTCAGTTTTTAACCTCAAGTACATGATATTCCTCAGTTTGTGTCATACCCATCATCACTGGTTCATTAAAGGACTGTTTTTCTGTTTTCCTTTATAACTAGTCCCCATATAAGTGACCTTTTAATATATTTGATATGTATCCCTTTATGTCTTATAAAAGGTTTTATTATTTCATGTATTTTAAATTATACATTAGATCTTAGTCGAATTCTTGTAGTCCCCTTCACCCACCTCCCTCTTTATTTCTAAGATTAGGCCATGTTGCTGAGTGCTCATCTAATTTGTTTTGTCTAACTGGTACATTGTGCTTTAGGTTATTTATTAAAATGAAACTGTTAATGTAAAATTCCTTAAGTGTATAAGGAACATTAAATGAGCATTTAAGAATAAAGTCCCAATTTGTGGTCATTTTTTTTTTATATCAGAATTGAATCTGAAGAATGGAATTAGATGCTGTGGAAGATCAGAGGAAATATAAACATCTGTTCCAAAGGCTAAGAGTCTGTTAGAACAATCAAAGGAAAGAATTGTGGGGCCTAACAAAAACATGTATTTTTCTTCTAGAAACAGTGTGTTAAAATGCTCGAATCTCCAGTGTTAGCCACAAAAGCTTAATAGTTGAAAGATAGCAGTAATATTTTGGAACTTCTACATTACCTATTACTTTTTAATTTCTACATTGTATTATATTTGAACATTCATCTTATTTTTTCTTATATTTCTTTGAGGCATAACTATGTTCTGTGAATTCCCATCACTGAATCTAATACAGAGTAGGAAGAGTACAAATGCAGGTTTCTCAATTTGGTATGCAGAAATATAATTTCATCTGTAGTAGCACATTATCAGCAAAAGCAACTTCTCTTGGATCCCCTAACGAGAAACTACCAGAGAGTGGGAACTTTAGAAGCTCCAGGTCCATGGTGATGGTATGTCTTGCAGCAATGAAGAGGAAAGAGAGAGGAGCACTCCTTTGAGAGGATAGGGTGATCCCTGACTTTAGAAGAAGGGTAATGATAGCTGTGATTGGATCAGGGAAGGGCTTCCAACAGAGAGAAAAATCTAAAGGTACCTTGTGGGGAGCAGTTTGTGTGGGAGGAGGATCTTAGGGGCACTTAGTTCTGGGGGCTAAGAGAAAATGTGTTACTGATTCAGTAATGGAATGGAAAAAGGGTAAGAGAATTCATGTTTGCTAAAAGTGAAGCCAATGTTGAGGTTTATTGGTTTATTTATTTATTTATATGTCAACACCTAAGTATTTATAAGATCTTTGATGGGAAGACCAGCAACTCTGCAAGTTGTTATTGAGTTAGTATCCCATGCATTGTTGAATACTCCCCACACAACAGTTCAGAGAATTAGACATCAGGTAACATAGTCCCTTTTTCTAGTTTCATTAGTTTCTGAGTATTTTATACGGCATAGTAATTTCATTATTCTCACTTTGTTATCTTAAGAGATGGCATAAATAAAACATAGTATTCTCATTTTACAAATGATGAAACTAGGAGCGGAGTGAGCTTTAGGTTCTTTTTACTAATCTATACTGCCACCCTGTCAACTGATATTTTCTCGATATAGAATATTTAATTACTAGTTTTAACATAAAAAATGTTTCTAACCTGGAAGAACCTCATAGCCTAAAAAGTTTTAAAAACACACATATACAAACAAAAATCTAGCCAACGAATAATTACTGATAGTCACTTAACCTTAAGGTTCATTAAAATAGCTTTAATAAACTAACTTGAATTTTGTCCTCTACTGTTATATAGAACATTATTTCAAAAATCATTCCAATTTGGGGCACCTGGGTGGCTCAGTCTGTTAAGCGTCTGCCTTCAGCTCAGGTCATGATCTCAGGATCCTGGGATCCAGCCCCACGTGGGCCTCTCCACTCAGCGGGGAATCTGCTTGTCCCTCTCCCTCTGCTACCCACCCCCACTCATGCACTTGAGCGCTCCCTCTCAAATAAATAAAATCTTAAAAAAAATTTCCAACTTATAACAAATGCCATAAATTTAATTTTTTTAAGTTTAGAATATGCCTGTTTACTTAAGGATTAGGTGTCTAGTTTTCATGGATGGGAGAATTAGAATCCCCAGTTTGTGGGAATGGAACGAGCAATTTGATCACACATATTTCAGAATATGGTAATCCCTTCACCCCAGATCATTTGTTTGTAGTATGAAAATCAGGAAAAGTGTGTTATAAACCTGTATCTTTTCTCCTGAGTGACTTAATTTGGTTCAGGCCCAGCTTTAGTGGTATAAGTACAGATCAAGTTTGGTTTTGAGTAATCCAGTTTTATCCTGGGGCATTCTAGGTCTGGAGTGCCTTTGGATATACTAACCATTTGGTTTCAATACCTCGTTGACATTTGATCCTGTGTAAAGATTGTGAGAGATTTCACATGTAGGTGGTGGGGTAAAGGAACACAGATTGACTCATAGTCTATTGAGTAGATTGGAGTTATAGGACTTTGAAGTTTAGCAGTGTTATTGTTATTAAAAAATAGGCTATGGTGTTAAAAAGACAGGTCTTCTGACTCTGATTTTACTGTATATTAAGACTTCAAATGTAATTTAAGTAAATTTGAACTTTAAAAAATGTGGATAACTTTATCTTTTTATGAAAGAATACAGTTATTTCAGATACCTTTTTTGTTTCATGTTCCAGTCTTTAGAATTCCATATGAGCTGCCTTTTTTTTTTTTTAGCCGCTTGCTTTCAGATTTAAAAAAGAAAAACAAAACCAAAAAACCAAAAACTCAGAATAGGTTGAAACTTGACACAAATTGCTGCCACAGAACAAAAGTGCTGATCAAGTTAAATCAACCCCTGTAATGTGTATTGAAAGGAAAACCTCTCCTCTCTCCCCCAGTTTGAAGAACAAGCATTTTTCCTGCCAAGAAGGGCTGACTTTAAATGGACCAGCTGTCCATATTAGGAGCATTGGGTTGCTAAGGTGACCATGGCTGTTTGGAGAAGAATGCAGCTGAGAGGGCAAGTTCTTGATGTGTGAGCTGAGGGAAGGAATGTGGTGTGATTGTGCATCATTCCTCCTAATCACATGCTCACAAAGTGCTGTGTGGGCAGCATGTAGAAACTACAAATCTGAGTGCTAGAGCTTGTGTGTGGTTAAAATCGTTTTGTTTTCGTG